AATGGGAGGGAGGGAGGGAGAGATGGGAGGGAGGGAGGAAGAAAGGAGAGGAGGGAGGTCGAAGGAAGGAAATGGTGGCGCCGTAGTTAGAATCCAGTACTGTAGGCTAACTCTGCCCACAGCCAGGAATTCGATGCTGACCAGTTCCAGATTGACTCAGCCACCCATCTTTCTGAGGTCGGTAAAGTGAGGACCCAGATAGTTGGGGGCAAGAGGTTGACTCTTTAAACTCCTGAGAGAGAGCTGTAAAAAGGATTATGAAGCGGTATATAAGTCTATTGCTATTGCTATGGTTGTGAGTCGAGTTTTGACTCTACCTTGACATCCTGTACGACGTTGGATACGAAACAGTGTGAGGGCCCGAACTTTCGCTCATGCCGTAGAGCTCGTAAATCACAATGTCCAGGCTGAGGAAAAACTCCAAGGTGTCCTTCGTGATGGGGGCCGCCCCCGTGTAACATTTGGTGCAGCGGTCCAAACCCAGCGCTTTCCGGACCTTTTTATAAACCAGCGCTCTCGCCAGCCGGTAGTTCATCGGGAGCTCAACGGATCTGCGGGGAAAAAATATATGCGTGAGGTTGGGAGTGACACCAGACCTCCCTTCCTCTGCAAGGATTCCCCCCTCCCCACATACACGCAGGACCATAGGTGTTTATTCAAACAAGTCTTCAGAAACGGGTCTCCCCGTGGCGCCGGTCTGGACTCCAAGCTTGCAACGGCGAGAGTCACCGTCGCGTAACCGAGCCCAACGGCACGCATAAAGTCCAGGAAAACAATCCAAGATTTGAACGGGTAAGAATACACGGCGTGAGCACACAAGACACGGAATTGGACACAATATGCGAATCCCCGGGATGGGATTAAGTAGGCGACGCCAGTGCAGCCCTTCACGAGAGGTGACGTTGCCTCCTCACGTGTAGTCGAGCCGACCAGCGTTGTCCCTGCCTCCGCTCTGTCCGACGTGTCCTCGGATCGGGAGGTGGTGGTGGACTCTACCTCCCCCTCCTGGCTAGTGGGCATCAGCTGGGACCCTCCTGGCCAACTGGCCTGGCCCTGTCGCTCATCCGGTTGACCCCGCCCAGCCTGCTCCATCCGGATCGCACGCTCCGAGCGCCGATCCCGACCAACGCTCGGCTCCGTGCCTTCCCCGGCAGATTGCAATTTTTCCTTCCTCCCCTGAACCGAAGGGTTGGGATGGGGGAACCATGACGGGGGCCGAGAAGACGTCCGGCCACTTGGGATGGTCCAATCGCAACAAGATGGTTGTCCGGATTCCAGGAATCCAACTTGAACAAAGACCCCAAAGGCAGGAGAATCCTCACAGCCTGCCTGGGAAAGCGAGGAAGCCCGCAATTGCAAAGGGGTTTGTGTGTGTGTGTGTGTGTGTGTGTGTGTGTGTGTGTGTGATTATTTACAAGTCGTTCTCGACTCACAACAGTTTTTGTTTAGTGACCGTTCAAAGTTCCAACGGCCTTGAAAATAGTTTTGCACGCTTACGACCATTACCGCATCCCCATGATTATGTGTTCAAAGTTCAGATGCTTGACAACTGACTCATACTTATGACAGCGGCAGCGGCCCCCTTTGGGGACCTTCTGACAAGCAAACTCAACGGGGAAGCCAGATTCACTTAATGACCCTACTTAATGATCTTAACAACCCTTAACTATGGGTCCCTTAACAACCATAGCAAGAGAGGTCATAAAATGAGGCAAAGCTCACTTAAAACAAACGTCTCATGTAGCAACCTAAATTCCGTCCTCCATTGTGGTCGTAAGCTGAGGACTGCCGGTACAAGCTTGGAAGTGGGTTTGCTTAGGCAGGCCAGTATTTCCCATCCTCACCCACTCGAAGGAAAGTCCCCAGCATGTAGTCCTCGACTTATGACCAGTTGCTTAGCAATCATTTGAAGTTATGACGGACCCCCCCCCCAAAAAAAAAGGTACTTAAGAATCCTGGGATCCCGACAGCCGCCTCCCCCTGGTAGTCATGTGACTGAATTTTGGTCACTTGGCCACTAAGCCATTTGCAATGTCCGGTCACATGACGATTTGTGGCATTTCTGTTGAAAAGAGGTGTTTACTTCCAGTTTTCAGCCAAACAAACACCCCACGGTCACCGCATCTGCTTAATGACCGCCGTTTCATTTAACAACCAGGCCAATTTGCTTCATGAGCGCTACAGAAACAAAGGGGGTAAAAAATCAGGTCGGGGCACGTGGTGACCCATTTTACAATCAGGATGGCACCATTATGGTCGTTAAGTCGAGGACTACCTACAAAGCATTCTTACATAGTGTTTTTTTTTTTTAAAAAAAACCCGTCTCTTCCTAACCCACGTTTCTCTCAGCCAGTGATGGTATGCTGCCGGTTCGCACCGGTTTAGCGATCCGGTTGCCCCGGCCGGCAGTTGGCCGCGTCCACTCGCGGCTGCCCTTTCCTGTCTTCCATTTCCTTCGTTTGTAGCTCAGCTGATAGGTGTGGCCATCACACCTCAGCTGCTTTGCCCACCAGCGCTGGCGGTCAGGTAAGTTTTAATACTTAAAATTTCCTGTTTCCGAACACGCCACACACGCTCCGCCCCCCCAGAACCGGCAGTCAAATATTTTGAATTCCACCGCTGCTCCGTGGGATTTCTTCGCTTTTGTTTCTAACCCAAGGGCAGGGAAGGTGTCACGTTGAAGGACTTTGCGATCCCGTCTCTTATTTCCACAACAAACGTCATCAAGGCAAAGAGAAAAAGTCGGTTTGGCTTTTGTGAAAAATACAAAGTAAACAGCTTTATATCCCCGAGGAGGAAGAAAGCGCTTCGTGTTACACCTCAGGCTTGGAACAAAACCGAGTTTTCTCCACCCCTAGCAACTTTTCGGGTGTATGAACTTTTCGAGGCCCAGGATATTTCCTGGCCAGCCAACCACCCATATGGCAAACACCGACATACAGGGCAGTCCTTGACTTAACAACCACAACAGTTTGGTCGTTAAGCAAGACAGTCCTTGCCACAGTTAAACGAAGCGCACTACGGTTAAGTCAGCCACACGGCTGTTCAGCGAAGCCAGCCTTCCCCCATGGACTTCGCTGGTCCGGAGGCCTCAAAAAGGGGATCGTGTGACACGCTGAGACTGTCGTAAGCATGAAGCGGTCGCCAAACATCCAAATTTCGATCCCGTGATCACGGGGAAGGTTGCAATGGTCGTAAGCATGAAACACCGGCCGTAAGCCACTTTTCCCCCCCCCCCAATGTTACGGTTAACTTTGAATGGTCACTAAATGAACTTTTGTTAAGTTGAGGACCGTTGCAGAGCCCAGATATTTTCAAGGGGAAGGAAGGAAATTCAAAGCTCACCGTCTTCATCCCAGAAACGCAACGACGGAAGAAGAGCTATTTCCCTCTCTCTTTTTAATATTAATTTCCATAATTCACCCAGGAAGCAACACAATCCAAGAGATCCTTTGGCAGTCGGCCCAAATGTGGCCGAAAAAAAATGGACTTACGACCCTGTTTCACGCTTATGACCATTGCGGCATCCCCCGCGGTCGCCTCCATCCAAATTTGGACTCCTGGCAGTTGATTCTCATTTTATGACTGTTGTCAATGTTGTCAATGTGAATTCCGGTCCTTTCTTAGGCACGAAAGGAGGCTGGGCAACTTTCGCCTCTCAGCCTTACCCACCTTGGAGGATTCCCGTCTCAGGGAAAACAGGAAGGACAGAAGAACGCAGGCAGTCCCCGACTTATGGCAGTTCATTTAGCGACCATTCAAAGTTACAATGGCATTTTTTTGGGGGGGGGAAGAGACTTGTGACCATTTTTCACCCTTACAACTATTGCCGCCACCCCCACGATCAAAATTCGGGTGCTTGGCCCTTGACTCATATTTGCGACAGTAAATCCCCTTTTGCAACCTTTTGACAAGCCAAGTCCATGGGGACTCCAGATTCACTTAACAAAGTTGTTATTAAGAATGGCAGCGATTCTCTTTACGAAACGGGGCGAGGAACGTCGTAACACGGGGCAAAACGCATTTCTTAACGCATTTCTCACTGAAGCGACATAAAAAGGGCTCGATGGTGGCTGTAAGTTGAGGATCGGTTAAAGAGAGAAAATGCCGAAGAACTCCTTTGGGTCTTTAGACCCCTGCAAGAAACAAAAAGGGGGGAGTGGGCACCAACAGGAAGACCCTTTGACCAAGGCTCAGGATGAGCAGAGTGTCAGCTTTGGAAGCCAGATGCTCCCATCCTGCCACATTTTGAGCCTGGGAAAATGGGAGGGGGGGAATTTATTGGAGCGTATGCAGTTAAACGTAATAAAATTCTTTTTCTGATTCAAGGTCAGGTGGTGTTGTGACTAAGTGAGGGGAAGTCTCAAGTCTCAAGGGAAGGTTTGAGAAGATGTGTCTGTCTCAGTGTTGGAATGGAGGTTTGCTGGAAAGCTGACCCAGAGTGTCCACAACAGGTCCTGCTGGGACGTGGGCCAGAAATCTGGGTTCAGGGGATGACGATGGGGGGGGGCTCCTTCTCCTGGGGGTAGACGCTGTGCCCAGGGAAGCAGGCGGTATGGTGGGCTCAGAATTGGGAGGAAGGGGCTGCAGAACCAGGGGAGGGTCCTGAAAAGTTCATGCCTTGCGGAGGCTGCCCAGGCCGCTTCTGCCTCCCTCCCGTCCCCCAATTCGGAGGAGCAGCAAGGCTCCCACCTTTAAACGCCCCGCCGCCACCCCCGGGCCCCTAAAAAGGGTCTGTGACTCAGCCGCCCACCGCCTCCTACCCGTTCATGCGCTTCAGGTTGGTCTCCAGCCCCACGGCTTTGGCCCAAACGGCGATCTTCTTCCGCAGCGTGGAGGACTTGGCCCCCACTGACTTCATCCGCTCCTGCATCTTCTCCCACACGCGGGGGACGCCCATGAACGCCGTGGGCCTCACTTCCCGCAGGGTGTCCACCAGGCTGCCCTGCCGGACCCAAGGCAAAGGAAGCGGGTTGGGGGATGAAAGGAGAAGAGGGCAGAGAAAAACCCGCCCTGAATCCAGCCCCCTTCCCCAGGAATATTGGGGGTCTGCCCCCGCTCCCCTTTGGGACATTGCTTTCATTTATCTATAGGTCTGTCTGTCTTTCTGTTGATCTGTCCCTCTATCTATCCATCCGTCTATCTATCCATCCGTCAATCTCTATCTATCTATCTCTGGGTATCCATCTGTTTTATCTGTTTGTCAGTTTACCCATCTCTCTCTATTTCAAACTATCCTAAAAATCTCTTTAGCCGTCTATATTTACATCTGTCTAGCTATCTTTCCATCCATCCATCTTTTATCTCTCTCTATGTCTGTCTGTCTACCTATCTCTGTATCTCGATGTCTGTCTATCATCTACCTACTTCTCTATCACTATATCTCTACCTATCTCTATATGTCTGCCTGCCTATTCGTCCATCTATCCGTCCATCTATCCATTCATCCATCCATCCATCCACCTATCTACCTACCTCTGTTCTACCTTAGTCAACCATCTCCCTCAGAAAGGACCTATTTGGTTCTATATTAAGGTCTTGTGACAGCGACACCTGGCTGACATCAGGAAATCAAAAATGCTAAGTAGAAACTAACCCAGCTAGCACATGAATGGGAAACCACCAGGAAACCCCACAGTCAAGGTATCACCTGGGGAGTGAGAACACACCCTGGAAGAATCAGCTCCCTATCACCTACGGCCCAAGCTTAACAGGCAGTTCTTGCTTAATGACTACAACAGGGACTAGTCACTCTGTTGTTAAAGTGTCATCGTTGTTAAATGAAACATGGTGGGACTGTGACAGACTGAAGTCACTTCCCGTTCGGTCATCAAGCGAGACCTCAAATTGCGATTTTACTGCAGGATCCGTTTATCAGAAGCCGGCATGAAAGTCGCAAACAGCGACTGGGGTGACTCCGCAGCAGTGATAAGTGCCAAAATCTGTCCTAATGTTTACTTTTCCAGCCCTGTTCTAACTTCAAGTGGTCACTAAACAGAGCGGATGTAAAAGAAGACCTGCCTCTAATAAGGAATCGAGTTGTACTGAAGGGAACTTTTGTTTTCCCCACTAGGGTGCAGCACCTAGGCAACCTCAGCTGATGCCCAGGATGGTGCACCACTAGGAAATCCCACCACTGACCGTACCCATGTGGGTGGTGGAGGGTCACTAGAAGCTGAGCTCAAATTTTAAGGCAATAGCTCACTTCTCTTTCAACTCTGACCCATTGTCCAGTCTACCTCGCAGGGTTGCTGTTGTTAGACCGATCCACCCATGGAACAACCTCCCTCCAGAAGTTGCAGGGTCTCCATCGCTGGGAGGTTTTTAAGAAGAGACTGGACAGCCACTTGTCTGGAACGGTGTAAGCTTTTTTTCTTGAGGGGCAGGGGAGTGGACTAGAAGACCTCTGAGGTCCCTCCCAGCCCTGTCATTCTTGCCATTGTGGGGATGATGTGAAAGGATCACCCCTCAAAAGCCCCCCTCGGTCTGCCAAAGGGAGAAGCCGGACGTGCCAGCTCACCTTCAGGGCGTCGGGCTGAGCGAAGTAGGTTTCCACGCCAAAGGTGACGGGCAGCCAGATGTCAATCATCTGTGCGGCGACATGGCTGAGTGGTAGATAGCTGACCACGCTCTCCTGGCCCTCCAAGGCCGTCTTCAGGTGCACGTACTCTCCGGCCGCTCTGGCCGTCCACGTGATCTGCAAGACAAAGAGGGCGTTGGCTGCCACGGAGGGACGTCGGGCCCCCCTGCGGGATCACACAAAAACCTCAGGCCGCCTTTGGGTTATGACGACACTTCGAGGAAACACAATGTCAGGATTCCGGCAATTGCCCCCATTTAAATCGATACTGGAGATGAAGCTTCTTGGATGAGAAGCGAAAGGTCTTTCAAGGAAAAACCAAGAAAGTCCAGCACCTTTGGGTCAACCACGACCTGGATGCCCAAGACACTAATTTAAATATTAAATGCCCCGTACAGATGGTTCTGCAAAAGGCAGGAAATGCGGTAACGTCTCCGCAACCCATTTATTTCCTCTTGCAAACATCTGCAACTTAGGACCTTTAAGGGGAAAACCCACAGATGTAGGTGGTTCTCAACTTATGACCGATCACTGTGTGCATCTTGATATGTGACGGACGAGGGAGCCAGGAGGGGCCCTTTCCAGTCAGAGGGGCCTCAGGAGGAAGGGGGCTACTTGCCCATGTGCTTTATTGAAGAACTGAAGAAGCTCCTCGGATGAGGAGCAAAACCTTTTCAAGAGAAAACCAAACTCAGCTGCCTTTGGGGCAAAAAATAATAATAAAAAAATGCACCTTTGGGGCATTTAAATGAGCGCCTGAAGAAACTTGTAAATTAACCACAGCTAACTCGCCTTAAACAATTCAAGATCAATGTAATTTTTTGTTCAAATTTTTGTCTGCCACATTTCATTCTGGTCCCTCCTTTCTTCAATCATCCTATTCCACCGTTTCTTTGATATTCGCGTAACTCTTGTTCCCGTGGCGAGTGGGCCGTGACAAACTGCCCTAAAAAAAAACAAAACACCCCAGGCACGCAGGCACTTACGTTGTCGTGGCTTAGCATGACTCCTTTGGGGTTCCCGGTGGTCCCCGACGTGTAGATGATGGTGCAACACTGGTTGGGCTTCAGGCTGGCCAGGACTTTATCCAGCTGCTCATCTGGGACGGAGCTGCCCAACTCCATGAATTCATCCCACTGGCCGGAAAGAAACAAAAAACAAAAATCAAAAAAAGTACAGCCTCGGGTGAGGAGGCGGCAGTCGGTGCATTGGAAGGGGTCAAGAAGTGGTATTCGGCTGGCTCAGACCGGTTCTGCAGAACCGGTTGCAAAAATTTTAAGTAGCTTAGAGCAGGGGTGTCCAACCTTGGCAACTTTAAGACTTGTGGACTTCAACTCCCAGAGTTCCTGGCTGAGGAACTCTGGGAGTTGAAGTCCACAAGTCTTAAAGTTGCCACGGTTGGACACCCCTGGCTTGGAGACCCGGCCAATACTACCTCTGACTGGGCCGGCCCAGGGGTCCCCACCATTCCCTCCAAGATTCCCTTGTTTATATTTTTTGTAAAAATTTTATTGGGGTTTCACAAAACATAACACAGATCAAATATCGTTTTGAGGACAGCGTGATTCCAGGTGATCACTTCTCTGTACCGACATAAACTCAATTTACATATTCATCTTTCTATTCTATTCCATCTTTTACAATTTTATTTTATCGCTTTTCTCAATCATTTCCCCCCTTCCCTTACTGTAGAGTTGTAACTGCAGGAATGTTCCAATCTCGGATGGCCAACCTCAGATAAAGAATGTTTCCAAGCAAATACAACTCAGGCAAACAAAGTCACTAATCTAAAGGAGGATTAGAGAGAGGAAGTCAACGTATGTTAGACTTTAACTAGAGATAATTAATTGTGTTAATTATTATTATGCTAAACAGGAACGAAAGTTAAGCAGTAACCAAAGTTAACCAATGTTGGAGGATTACTAAAAAATGTGTATAAATGCACGACTAGACTCCAATAAAGTTCATCGTGGTTCAGTGGATCATGATCAAGCAACTCGACAGCCTCGTCGTTACAACACCTTACTTTCTTCAACCTTATTTTTAATTATCTCCTTCCTTTCTAAATTCAATGACTGGACTTTTTCTAAATTTCAGTATCTTTCTAATCATTATGCAGCATTTATACTTTTGTCTGTCCTGCTTTATAGTTCCTTTTTTTGTTTGTTTAGCTCAGCTGATCCGCACGGCAGAGCACACACGGCTGCGCCTCAGCTGAGGTAAAAAAACAGCTCAGTTCACCAGCGCTAACACAGAGGGCGGCTGTGGGGCGCAAGGTTTTCGCCCTCCCCTTTAAGGGAACGGCTGACTTCCCCCCTCCCTTGATGCCAGGGTTGTCAAACTCGATGTCATTGAGGGCCGCATCAGGGTCATGGTTGATGTTGAGGGACTGGGGGGGGGGG